ATATATATATATATATATACATATATCTATTCGAGTGTGCATTATACTAGAAAAGAATATTCTTCCAAAAATAAATTTATAAATTATTAGTTTTTGTATAGTAAAATATTGTAAATGAATCATATTGCAATCTATGACGTACTTATGGAATTCTTTAATAAATTGTCATTTCAGATTTAAATGGAATGATGCCTCGATAAAAGTGAAAATAGAAAATATATTCACGAAACTTGTAACAAACCTGATTCATTTTTTCGTTGAATCGTCTCCTATGTGAGTTGAATGCATCATGTTAATTGGCTGGCACAAATAATTCACTAATTTATGATTTCATTTATATGTACATGCGTTTAAACCATACTATCCGTTTTTGAAATGAACGCGACTATGCGACAATCAGAACTAATGACATCATAGTCACGTGATCAGTTTATAACGATACTTCTTCACTTAGGCTATTCAAAATTATTGTAAAATTTTTTTTTCTTAATTTAAAAAATATAATTATGTAAGATACGAAGAAATAATTCGTATAATATGAAACAAATACGCATGGTTTCAAATTAGAAGTACATATTATTGAAATCGTTTATATACGTATCTTACTTTAAAAAGATCACGTTTTCAAAGCTCGATTGTCAAACGACAAAACGAATTCTTCATATTCTATGGCGCAATAAAATGGAGCAAAAAATTTATTCTCATGATATTTTTCACGATACGATCGTAAATACTATTATCGATTATCACTTTATAAAAAATTTTTAAAAATCTATTTTAAATAAAATTAAATAATAATAACATCAGAATAATTTGATACAAAATTGATTGTATATATATAAGTATATTGATACGTGATGTCATTACGATTATTGCTTGTTTACAATAATGACAAAATAAATTATATTCGTTCAAGCATGTGAACCTAATAACCTAAATATTATAGATTTCGTTCTGATCGATGATATTAGAAACTTTTTAAAAAATTTTCGAAGTGATACGTAAAATATTTTTTGCTTTTTTATAATCAATAAACAAATACTTGCCTCCAGCCATATAACTGTTTTCTTAACGTACCATGTATTGCAAGTTCCAAAAATAATTTCTTGATGATACGCGTTTTGAAGTAAGGTAATGCAATAATATATATAAGAAATGATAGTCTGTATTAATCTCACGAAAAATTTCTGGAAAATATATAAACACTTGTCCAAATATAAAACAGAGTATTATAAAAAGTTCACACGAAAACTTGATGAACCGTAACACCTGTTGCATTAAAAAACACAAACTAGAATGTATGACACAAATTTTATTGTATTACACTAATGGTGCATTTTGCGCCATCTGATAGTACATTTCTGTATAATCTTTGTTATCGACATGACGTATTTCACCACAGACGAAGTGCAGAATAGATTTAACATTTAATGGAATTTTATGTCTTATGTTTTGAAATACCGATTGTGCAAAAAATCATGTCTTCTATGATTTGGAACGATGAGTATAAAAATTTATATTCTATTCAATTAAATAGTAAAA